TGTATGTTCCCCTTCTGTGGGTGAAACAGGATCCTGATCCCTACTGTACACAGGTGGGGTAGATGAAGCCCTCTGTACTGACTGTTGAACCGATGTCCTCTGCCTAGTTGCCTTCCGTTTAGTAACCGGGGGTAGAGAATGGTACACCGGCTGTCCTTCTATCAGATCCTCAGATCGATGGAGCCGACGACCTCTGATCCAGAGTGCTTGGGGAATATCTACCGGGCTGGAAGCAATGATGCTAAATTACCTAATAAAAAGATAAATAAAGCAGTAAATAAACTAACAACCGGACAGCATAACGGCATAAAATAAACATACAATACACAGTTGGATATGCGTAATACATAATCGGCAAGCCGAACACACTATTTCTTGATACTGATCACTGTTCCCCAAAATCTCTGTTCCCGAAACTGAACCCTGATACCCGCAGATAACTGATTCTGTTAAACTGATACCGATACTGATATCCTCAGGTCTGATATTCAAATTTGCAAACTGATATGTACTTTCCCCCTGTAAAAATACATTCTAAAAGCACATAGCAAGTAAAGAGAGCCGAAACACCCCTATATTGGGGTAGGGTTTCCCTGTCCTATTTTGTCAGGAGCTAGGGTTTCACTATGCACGCAGCAGTTCTCAAACAACCTAACATCAGGTAAGCAACCTGTCTTAGTTTGGAATGGTCACTATGGATCCGAACATGCACTAGGTTGAATGGTCGGAAAGGGTGCCCCGGTAAAATCGGGGTTTGTGTTCCCATGCTGTCAGAGCCCATAGCCGGTCAGCCTTATGGACATGTCTTGACAAGACAAGCCACCGGGAAACCATTCAGGAATGGCAGATGGCAAACACTGTGTTCCTAGGCGCACCAATGCAAATGCAATGCAAAGAAACACATAAGTGTAATCAAAACAGCATATCATGAGTTCGAGTCAAGCTCTCCAATTTCCCCAGCAGAGTCGCCAGAAACTGTAGACGCGCCCGTGGGCCTCATGCTACAGTTCAGACTCAATTTGTGTCACGGTTCTTAATCTGAACCAAAGAGTCCAAATCTGGCAAATCGTTTTGAGAAACAGATTTTTGAAAAAGTAGTGCCAAACATGGACTGCTTTGCCAGATACAGAGTCGCCACCTAAATATTTTTTATGGGAGAA